ATCCTCCCATCCTGCATTGTGCCAATAACAGGATGTGAGGCATGAGGGAGATGATACTGGTTGAAGAGCTATCATGTGGAGTCTGTTGTTGTTAGGTGCCGTCCAGTCTGTTCCAACTCATAGCGATCCTATGTACAACAGAATGAAACACTGCTCGGTCCGGTGCCATCCTCACAATCATTGTTATGCTTGAGCCCAGTGTTGCAGCCACTGTGTCAATCCATCTCCTTGAGGGTCTTCCTCTTTCTTGATGACTCTCTCCTTTACCAAGCATGATGTCCTTCTCCAGGGACTGATTCCTCCTGATAATATGTCCAAAGTATATGAGACGTAGCCTTGCCATCCATCTTCTAAGGCGCATTCTGGTCATACTTCTTCCAAGACAGATTTGTTCATTCTTCTGGCAGGCCGTAGTATATTCAATATTCTCCAACACCACAATTCAAAGGCATCAGTTCTTCGGTCTTCCTTATTCATTGTCCAGCTTTCACATGCATATGAGGTGACTGAAAACATCATGGCTTGAGTCAGGTGCACCTTAGTCTTCAAGGTGACATCTTTGCTTTTCGACCTTTAAAGAGGTCTTTTGCAGCAGATTTGCCCAATGCAATGCGTCGTTTGGTTTCTTGACTGCTGCTTCCATGGGTGTTGATTGTGGATTCAAGTAAAATGAAATCCTTGACAACTTCAATCTTTTCTCTGTTTATCATGATGTTGCTTATTGGTCCAATCGTGAGGATTTTTGTTTTCTTTATGTTGAGGTGTAATCCATACTGAAGGCTGTGGTCTTTGATCTTCGTCAGTAAGTGCTTCAAGTCCTCTTCACTTTCAGCAAACAAAGTTGTGTCAGCTGCGTAACGCAGGTTGTTAATGAGTCTTCCTCCAATCCCGATGCCCCATTCTTCTTCATATAGTCCAGCTTCTCAGGTCATTTGCTCAGCATACAGACTGAATAAGAATGGTGAAAAAACACAATCCTGACGAACACCTTTCCTGACTTCAAACCACGCAGTAATCCTTTGTTCTGTTCGAACGACTGCCTCTTGATCTATGTACAGATTCCTCATGAGCACAATTAAGTGTTCTGGAATTCCCATTCTTCATAATGTTATGAAGTGCCTGTTCATATCCTTTGCCCATTTTTTAATTGGGTTGTTGTCTTTTTGTTGTTGAGGTTTTGCAGTATCATATAGATTTTAGAGATTAAACGCTGATCGGATTTGTCGTAGCTAAAACTTTTTCCCAGTCTGTAAGTTGTCTTTTTACTCTTTTGGTAAAGTCTTCTGAGGAGCATAAGTGATTTTTAGGAGCTCCCAGTTATCTAGTTTCTCTTCTGGTGTTTGTGCATTGTTACTTATGGTTCGTATTCTGTTTATACCATGTATTAGGGCTCCTAGCATTGTCCCTATTTTTTCTTCCATGATCTTTATCGTTTTAGATTTTATATTTAGGTCTTTGATCCATTTTGAGTTAGTTTTTGTGCGTGGTGTGAGGTATGGGTCTTGGTTCACTTTTTTGCTGAGATGGATATCCAGTTATGCCAGCACCATTTGTTAAAGAGACTGTCTTTTCCCCAATTAACAGCCTTTGGGGCTTTGTCAAATATCAGCTGCTCATAGGTGGATGAATTTTTGTCTGGATTCTCAATTCTGTTCCATTGGTCTATGTATCTGTTGTTGTACCAGTACCAGGCTATTTTGACTACCATGGCAGAATAATAGGTCCTAAAATCAGGTAGTGTGAGGCCTCCCACTTTGTTCTTCTCGAGTAATGCTTTACTTATCCAGGGCCTCTTCCCTTTCCATACGAGGTTGGTGATTTGTTTCTCCATCTCATTAAAAAATGCCAGTGGAATTTGGATCAGGATTGCATCGTATCTGTAGATCTCTTTGGGTAGAATTGACATTTTCACAATGTTGAGTCTTCCTATCCATGTTTTCCACTTATGCATGTCTCTTTTGGTTACTTGCTGTAGTGTCTTCTAGTTTTCATTGTATAGGTCTTTTACATCTCTGGTGAGATTTATTCCTAAGTATTTTATCTTCTTGAGGGCTATTGTAAATTGTATTGATTTGGTGATTTCCTCTTTGAAGTTCTCTTTGTTGGTGCAGAGGAATCCAACTGGTTTTTGTACGTTTATCTTGTATCCTGATACTTTACTGAAATCTTCTATTAGTTCCAGTAGTTTCCTTGCAGATTCTTTTGGGTTTCCTGTATATAAGATCATATCATCTGCAAATAGAGATACTTTTACTCCTGCCTTGCCATTTTGGATGCCATTTATTTCTTTTTCTAGCCTAATTGCTCTGGCTAGGACCTCCAGCACAATGTTGAATAAGAGTGGTGATAAAGGGAATCCTCGTCTGGTTCCTGTTCTCAAGGGGAATGCTTTCAAACTCTCTCCATTTAGGATGTTAGCTGCTGGCTTTGTACAAATGTCTTTAATTGTGTTGAGAAATTTCGCTTCTATTCCTATTTTGCTGAGAGTTTTTTTAAGGAATGGGTGTTGGACTTTGTCTGATGCCTTTTCTGCATCAATTCATAAGATCATGTGGTTCTTGTCTTGTTTTATTAATGTGATGGATAACATTGATTGTTTTTCTAATATTGAACCATCCCTGCATACCTGGTGTAAATCCCACTTGATCATGGTGAATTATTTTTTGATATGTTGTTGAATTCTATTGGCTAGAATTTTGTTGAGGATTTTTGTGTCGATGTTCCTGAGGCATAATGGTCTGTAATTTTCTTTTTTAGTGGTGTCTTTACCTGGTTTTGGTATCAGGGTTATGCTGGCTTCATAGAATGAGTTTGGCAGTATTCTGTCCTTTTCTATGCTCTGAAATACCTTTAGTAGTAGTGATGTTAACTCTTCTCTGAAAGTTTGGTAGAATTCTCCAGTGAAACTGTCCAGGCCAGGGTTTTTTTTTTCGTTGTTGTTGTTGGGAGTTTTTAATTACCTTTTCAATCTCTTCTTTTGTTATGGGTTTATTTAGTTGTTCAACCTCTGTGTTAGTTTAGGTAGGTAGTGAGTTACTAGAAATTTGCCCATTTCCTCCAGGTTTTCAAATTTGTTAGAGTACAGTTTTTCATAGTATTCTGTTAGGTTTCTTTTAATTTCAGTTGGGTCTTGACCCAACTGAAATCTCATTTCTTATTCGGATTATTTACTTCCTGTCCTGTTTTTATTTTGTCAGTTTGGCCAATGGTTTATCGATTTTGTTGATCTTTTCAAAGAACCAGCTTTTGGTCTTGTTAACTCTTTCAATTGTTTTTCCGTTCTCTATTTCATTTAACTCTGCTTTAATTCTTATTATTTCCTTTCTTCTGACTCCCAAGCACTTCTTTTGCTGCTCTCTTTCTACTTATTCAAGTTGTAGGGTTAATGTTTTCATTTTGGCCCTTTCTACTTTTTGGATGTATGCATTTATTGCTATAAACTGACCTCCGAGAACTGCTTTTGCTGTGTCCCAAAGGTTCTTGTAGTATGTGTTTTCATTCTCATTCTAGTTTGATTCTATGAATTTCTTTATTTCATCCTTAATTTCTTCTATAATCCAGTAGTTTTTGAGAAAGGTGTTGTTCCGTTCCCGTGTGCTTGATTTTTTCCTTGCTTTTTCTGTTATTGATTTCTACTTTTATGGCATTATGGTCAGAGAAGATGCTTTGTAATATTTTGTTGCTTTGGATTCTGTTAAGGCTTGCTTTATGGCCTAATATGTGGTCTATTCTGGAGAATGTTCCATGTGCGTTAGAAAAGAAAGTATACTTGGCTGCTGTTGGGTGGAGTGTTCGGCATATGTCCATGAGATTAAGTTGATTGACTGCAGCATTTAGATCTTCCATGTCTTTATTGAGCTTCTTTCTGGATGTTCTGTCCTTCACTGAAAGGTGAGTGTTGAAGTATCCTGCTATTATTGTGGAACTGTCTATCTCTCTTTTCAATGCTGTTAGAGTTTGTTTTATGTATTTTGGAGCCCTGTCGTTGGTTGTGTAAATATTTATTATGATTATGTCCTCCTGGTGTATTGACCCTTTAATCATTACATAGTGTCCTTCCTTATCCTTTGTGGTGAATTTTGCTTTAAAGTCTATTTTGTCAGAGGTTAATATTGCCACTCCTGCTCTTTTTTGAGTATTGTTTGCTTGATATATTTTTTTCCATCCTTTGCGTTTTAGTTTGTGTCTTTCAGTCTAAGGTGTGTTTCTTGTAGGCAGCATATAGATGGATTGTGTTTTTTAATCCATCTGCCGCTCTCTGTCTCTGTCTCTTTATATGCATTTAGTCCATTTACATTCAGCTTAATTATTGATAGGGATGTGTTTAGTACTGTCATTTTGATGGCTTTTTTTGTGTGTATGTTGTTGATAGTTTCTTTGTTCCACTTAATTTTCTGTGCTGATTCATTTTTCTTTATGTATTTCTTTTCATCTTTTTCATTGTTGTTGATTTTGTATTTGCGGAGTCTTTATATTTTTCTTGTTTTTTTATTTTGATGTGTAGGACTGTTTGTTTCCTTTGTGGTTACCTTAATATTTGCCCCTATTTTTCTAAGTTTATACCAGTCTTTTATTTCTTTATATGGCCTTGGTTTCCTCTCCATATGAAAAATCTATGTCTACGTTTTTTAGTTCCTCTTTTTTGTTTTAATGTTGTCATCTTTTACATATTGACATCTCCGTTTCCCTATTTTCAGTGTTTTAGCTTTGATTTACTTTTGTGACTTCCCTATCTGGGTTGATATCTGGTTGCTCTGTCCCGTGTTCTAGTCTTGGGTTGTTATCTGATGTTATTGATTTTCTAACCAGAGGATTCCCTTTAGTATTTCTTGTAAATTTAGTTTGGTATTTGCAATTTCCCTCAACTTCTGTTTATCTGGAAATGCCCTAATTTTGCCATAATATTTGTGAGACAGTTTTGCTGGATATATAATTCTTGGCTGGCAATTCTTTTCCTTCAAGGCTTTATATATGTCATCCCATTGCCTTCTTGTCTGCATGGTTTCTGCTGAGTAGTCTGAGCTTAGTCTTATTGACTCTCCTTTCTAGATGACTTTCTAGATGACTTTTTGTTTGTTCCTATCCGCTCTTAAAATTCTCTCTTTATTTTTGGTTTTGGCAAATTTAAATATAATATGTCTTGGTGACTTTCTTTTGGGATCTACCTTATGTGGGGTTTGATGAGCATCATGGACAGATATATTCTCATCTTTCATGATATCAAGATTTGTTCTGCAAACAAATCTTCAACAATTCTCTCCGTATTTTCTGTTATCCCCCCCGTTCTGGTACACCAATCAATCATAGGTTATTCCTCTTGATAGAGTCCCACATAATTCTTAGAGTTTCTTCATTTTTTAAAATTATTTTATCTGATTTTTCCTCAAATAAGTTGGTGTCAAGTGCTTTATCTTCAGTCTCACTAATTCTGACTTCCATTGCCTCAATTTTGTGCCTATGACTTTCTATTGAGTTGTCTAATTCTCAAATTTTATTGTTAATCTTCAGGATTTCTGATTGCTGTCTCTCTATGTATTTTTGTAGCCTGTTAAATTTGTCATTATGCTCTTGAATAACCTTCTTAAGATACTCTATTGCTTTTTCTGTATGTTCCTTGGCTTGGTCTGCATTTTGCCTGATCTCTTGAAGAGTTCTATATATTTATCTTTTGTATTCTGCCTCTGGTAATTCCAAGAAATACTCTTCCTCCTAAAACTTTCTTGATTCTTTATTTTGGGAGCTTGCTGAAGCCATCATGGTCTGCCTGTTTATGTGATTTGATATTGACTGTTGTCTCCAAGCCATCAATAATTTATTATATTCATTTATTTTATGTTTTCTTACTGTATCCTAGCTTCTTATTTTGTTTTGTTTTGATACGTCCAAATAGGCTGCTCATGTGTGCTGGTTTGATTATTGATGCCTTTGAAGCTCTCACATCCTGTCACCTTGTGGTTAGAGCTGTTACTATGTATGTGAGCCCAGGAGTCTGATTACTTTTCTTGTATGAATTCAGCTCAGGTGTCCAGATAGTCAATCACCAAGTGTGTGGTGCAGGCTCTCACCTACAGTCCTAGACAGGCATAGGCGATTGGTGTAGGCACAGGTATCTAGCTGCAGTGAGGTGTCACACACTGAGCAAGACAGGGGGCTAATAGCTGCCCCTGAGTGGAAGGAAAGTGTGTCCCTGTTCCCTACAGCATGTAGGTGGATGGGTTTTGCAGCTGGATTATAAGCATCCCATGCTGTTGGCTGTATGGACTGGGGGCACCACTTATTCTTGGACACCTGTCACAGGTGGCTAGGTGGTGTGGGTGAAGCCACCAGTCCTCAGGCCCCTGATATGGGTAGGTGAGGACCCTGCTTAATGGGAAGAGCAGTGTCACATGTCACAAACCTGCCACTTCACCATGTAGCTGAAACAGCTGAAGTTAGACTTCAGGTATATACCCTGTTGTACCATGGTAACAAGGGCCTACGCTATTGAAATGGGCCAACATATGCAGGGGTGAAAGGCATTCAAAGTCCTTGGACCCCTTATGCCTGTACCTAGGCAAAGGAGCTGTGCCTACCCTGAGTTCCTGGTTTAGGGGAGCCGGCAGATTATTTTTTCCCTATTTGTTAATTTGTTCCCTCTCCAAGGCAGGGAGAATGGCTCAGGGCACATGATGTATCCTACTTCCAGCCCAGGAGACTCAGTCACTGAAGCTGGCCCAGGACCCAGAGCAGGGAGGGGGCAAGTAAATGGGAGAGAGATTTTTCCCAAAAAGTGTATTTTTTGATCCGCTTGGCAGGCCAGACGCTAGTACTTATCTTTTGCCAATTTAACATTGCTTTTCACTGGTTCTGGATGGCAGAGTAGACTCTCTGCTGCTTGGTCCCTCCTGATATGGAAAACGCCTCCCGAGCGCCGCTGCTTGCCTCACTGTGTGTGCAAGCCTACCCTGCCTGAGGGGCACTGGTTCCTGCTGGGTCAGGTCTGGCAACTCCTTGCTGCTTATGAATCATCTCTCCCTCCCCCTGCCACTCAGTCCGATTCCTCAACTTTGCCTTTGATGTTCAGGGCTCCTAGATTGCCCTATATAATCGATTCACTTGTTTTTTTTTTTTTGGTTTTTGTTGTAAGATAGACCACAAGAAGTGTCTGACTACTCTGCCATTTTGGCCCCGCCTCTGACATCTTTGCTTTTTAAAACTTTAAAGAGGTCTTTTGCAATACCTAGTTTGATTTCTTGACAACTGCATCCATGGATGTTGATTATTTATCCAAGTAGAATGAAATCATTGACAACTTCAATTTTTTCTCCATCTATCATGATGGGAATTGTGTAGAGCTGTGCAACATAAGAGTTGACAATGAACATAGGAGAAATATAGCAGGCTCCACATCCTCTCTGATACCTACTCCTTTGGCTATGTGCCAATACCCACTCCCAACTACTGCAAGAGCTACTATTAAAAGATTCATTCCCTTTGGTTTTGAAATTTCCTTATTAAGCAGAATACATTAAAATAGTAACAGCTAACACCATGGCAAAGATACACGACCACCAAGTAAGAGTAACTCTGAGATGTCAGGGATGAGTTTGAGGAGCCAGGGGCTAAGACAGGTCAGGTGGGGCTACCTTAGAATGTGTTACAAGGAACATCACAACCTCGAGATGGCTGGGCAGAAATAAAGCTGCAAAAAAGGCCAAGAGAGGAAGAGCCAGCGCTCCCTTCTCTCACACCCAAGAGCAGGGCAACTATGTGCACTGTGGTGAGATGATGTTTTCCTTTGACACAACTTTATTCTGAGTGAGACCTTTGGCCCCATTTTAGAAGCCAATTGAGCCTCAATAAGCAGAGGTGGGGCTTCCTAGTGCAGGAGACTCCAGGCTCTATAAAGCTGGATGAAGCTGAACTGGGCATCTCTCCAAGGACTCTGAGCTGCCAGGCTTCTGCTTGCTCCTCTGAAAATGCAGCGGCTGTTGGCTCCAGTGAAGCAGGTCTTGCAAGTAAAAAGAGTCCTGCAGGAAGCTTCTCTCACCCCTGTTGGCCTCCTCCCATCAGCCCATCAAAGGTAAGTCCCATTGCCTTGGGGGGCTGCACAGGTCGATCTTTGAGAAGCATCATGGAACCAATAAAAGATAAGCAGGTTGTATGTCATAGGAAAAACTCACTAGATTCCCAATCAGAAGTTGGCTGGGATGCTGCACAGCCTTAGACAAGCAAGTTAACTGCTCAGGGTTTCACTTCCCTCATCTCTGAACAGACTGTCCCTGTCAGCTGTAGAATTCCAGGATCCCAGATTGCTGACATCTGCTGTGTCTGTAAACACAATCACCTTTCACTCCTCCAACACCAGGGAGCAGTGGGAATATCATCAGATTTGCAGACTTTGTATAACTGTCATGATAAGCTGTTTGAAAGCCATTCTCAGTCAATACTAAATGAGTCAAAAGACTCAATAGTTTTTGTTATTTCTGAAAAGTGGTGTGTGTGAGGAGGGGCAGAAAGGAAAACAAAAACCACAACAGCAGCTGTTAGTATGATTGGTGAGTTTTGAGCACCTTTCACACTAATCTCCAATCATCAGAAACATTCCTAAGAACTAACAGTCACAGTAGCTCACACCAGCATGCATGATTGATTGTGATTTAGCAATAATTGTTTCTATCGGTTCAGGAAGTTCCTTAAAGTAGAATGAAAAATGGCTTTTCTCGTTGTAAAGGAGGTTGGACTGGATGAGTTTGGAGCTCTGAAATGTTGTTTCAGAAGCACCAGTGGCTGAGGCACAAATGAAGGATAAAGATTATCAGGAAGCAGAGGCAGCTCTGTGCTCTGAATGTAGTTCCCATTCCCACACCATTGTCTATACCAAGTTCCCAGCTTTGTAGCTGCATTTCTTAGAATTGTTGGCCTTTTGGAAGGCTCCAATTGAGGGGAATTGCTTGCTGCAGAAGCAACTTGGGGACCTAAAGCTCTCTAGTCCTGCCTGGTGAGAAGCAGAGAGTGGGGTGGGCATAGCTCCCAGGACCCATGGTGCTCTTCTCTCCACCACTGTTCCCACCTCTACTCCCAGGCTGTGCCAACCCCTCAGGATTCTATACCAACTGCAGTGTTAGTAAAACCAGCTACTTTAAGTCACTGCTGCAAGATTCTAAATGTACTCCAATTTCATGAAAAGGGAAAATGACGCATAAAGACAAGAATGTGTGTGTGTGCGCCTGTGTGTGTGTGCGCACACATACACTTGGGTTTGTACCCAGAAGTACATACACACTCCTTTTTTTTGGTAAATTCCCCCTCAGTCTGGCCCAAGTGCTTGTGGACTCCCAGAATCCATGGTAACATACCTATAGCCTTGCTCTCCTGACCACCTATGTATTATTGTCCAATCCTTAAACCACCCACTATACCTTAGGACTAGGCCATTCCTTCCTTTCCATTTTTACTCTACAATCCACAAGTACTTTAAAAATATTATTTAGATCTAGTGTCTGCCTTTGCATGGTAGGTACCCAGGGAACCTGAGTGTATGTACGTGTGAGGTAGTGAGTGGGTAGGTAGCCCAATACGTGAAGCTCTTTAGCCTTCTCACTTTCTTCATGACCCTCCAGCATCGTCCTCACCTCTTCCCCCCCACCCCGCCAAACTGCTGAGTACAGGCCAAATGTCCTAGTTAAAATTTAGGTTCTTTGTGTATTTGTGAGTGTTATAGATTGAATTATGTCCCCTCAAAATGTGTCACCTTGGCTAGGCAGTGATTCCCAGTATTGTGTAATTGTCCACCATTTTGTGATCTGATGCAATTTTCCTATGTGCTGTAACTTCTAACCTCTATGATGTAATGAGGTAGGATTAGAGGCAGTCATGTTAAAGGCAGGACCCAATCTACAGGATTAGGTTGTATCTTGAGTCAATCTCTTTTGAGATATAAAAGAGAGAAGCTAGCAGAGAGGAGAGGGACTTCATGCCACCAAGAAAAAAGAACCATCAGGGGAGCACATCCTTTGGATTCAGGGTTCCTGTGCTGAGAAGCTCCTAGACCAGCGGAAGGTTGATGACATCGACCTTCCTCCAAAGCCAACAGAGAAGAAAGCCTTCCCCTGGAGCTGGCACCTTGGATTCAGACTTCTAGCCTCCTCGGCTGTGAGAGAATAAATTTCTTTTTGTTAAAGCTATCCACTTGTGGTATTTCTGTTGTAACAGCACTAGATAACTAAGACAGTGAGGAAGGGATTGACATGGGTTTGCTCATTTCCATAAGCAACAATTGGCCACCAGCCAAGAGACAAGGCTCAGTCCTCACCAACCTGCTCCTCCTTCTGACTTGTTGGGCTCAAAAACTTGGAATCATGTTTCACATTTTCCTTTATGGTGTATTCACAGCTAGCTAAACCCATTATCCATGGCTTGAAGCAATATAAGAAGTTCTTTATGTGTCCTTTTATGTCTGTATGTCTATCCCCTCTAATCCAACCTGCATCAGTTCTAGGTCCAACCTAAGAACTGCTCCCATTTCAGCATCTGCTTTGCTGCTTCTTAGCTGCCTCTAAAATTAAGTAAACGTGCCCTCCACTTTGTGGTCCCAATTTACTTTTCTTACCTATTATCTCCCTATTCCACTACACTGTTCCTGATAGAATATCCCCTTCTGCTGTGGCCACTGTCCCTTCAAACCATCCTCCAATTCTTCATCTGAAGAAACTCCCCTCATCCATCAAGGCTGATCTCAAATATGGCTCTTTCATGAAGATTTTCCTGATCCTCTCACCCACAGTAAATCCCTGCTTCCTTTGAACTCTTGTGACATTTTGTCCCTATCTCTCTTGTGTCCCTTGTCATATTCTGCCTTGCAGTTTAGTTACGTATGTACTTATCTCATTCCTCCCACTGATCAAGGAACTCCTCGAGGACAACAACTTTGTCTTCCTCTTTTCTTTGTCTCCTCTCACCCCACCCCCATGGTATCTAGCATAGTGCCTGGCACATAATAGCTAATTTTGAAACAAGAGGGAAGAAGGTGAAATGGAGTGAAGAAATAGAAGCTTGGTGCATTTTTTGAACTAGGGAACACTAGAACAAAATCAATTTTAAAGTAAATAAAGTGATTATTCTTTAAAGAAAGCACAAGATTAGAAGGATACTCTTAACTCCAATGTTCTGATACCTCTGGAAGACTCTACATGTTAACTTTTCTTCATGACTCTGGAATCCATTTCCACAAATAGCTCCCTACTAAACAGTTACAAAAGTTACTGATTCTTGTTACAAAAGGGCCTGATTTTTGAAGCCTCTTCTATCAACCTTGAATTTCTAACTAGAAAAAAAAAGTGATGGAATCAGCACAAAGAAGGCAGCATGAGAATGAGGCTGAGGGAAAAGCCAGCCAAGTCCAGGACTAGGTGCTGGCTAACCATTAGCTACTAAGTACTTGGGAAGCTTCTCCATAAATATTTGAGAGTACAAACTCCATTTATTCGGAGGGCACCAAATAAATAAGGCAGATGGTTTAACTCCAAACTTCTCTTATCAGATATTGATGAATAGTCATTGCTGCACCTCACTATCTTGTGATCATTTGTTCTACTTTTGCCTCACAACAGTCCTTCAAAGTGGCCTTCCTGATGGGAGAACTAGGTCTACCAGAAGCCCTCAATCCTGATGATTCTGTGACAGGAAACTAAATTTATAAGCACTATGGAGCTATCCTATCACTCTTCCATGGTAGGGTATCCTCTGGCCTAATAGGTGTCAAAGGAATCTGGAGGTGTTCATGAGTGTAAGTCCAATATGTAACACACATTGGACTGGTTCCCAAGTCAACAAAGCGACAGGCTATTTCTAATATATGACTAACTGTGTTACTCTGAACTGTCACTTCACCAGTGTGTGTCTTAATTTTACCATCTGAAAAATGAAGAATGAGCCCAAGGGGTGAATCGTGATTAGTCTGAGGCACCTGTGAGAATTCCATTCCCTTTGCCAGTGTTTGGTTTAGGAATAGATATGTGACATGATTCTGGCCTATGAGGCATGAGGAGATGTTCTTTAGGAGGACTTCTGGAAAGATTTCTCAGAAACTCAAGGAGAAACAGCTTTTCTTGGCCTCTGAATGCTGTTGTCTGCATATGTTGTCTGGAACCACGGCATTCATCTTGTGACCTTGAGAGGAGTCAGGACACAAGACAAAAACCAACATAATAAGGATGACAGAGAAAAAAGAAAAAAAATACAGTGGAATATCCATAGAATGAAATCCTCGTCAGTAATAAAAATGAACGAACTACTAGTAAACTCAACAAAATGAATGAAGTTCAGAATTATTGTCTGAAGCAAAAAAGCCAGAAACAAATGAGTACATACATATGACTCCATTCAAACGAAGGTCTAGAATAAGCAAAACTGATCTATAGAGGTAGAAATCAGATCCATGGTTACCTGCAGCAGAGGATGAGAGAAGGATTGACTGCAAATAGACATGAGGGAACTTCTGGCATGTTGGAAATGTTCTACATCTTGATTGGGATGCTGACTACCAGGTATACACATTTGTCAAGGCTTATCAAACTGTACTTTTAAAACCTATGCATTCTACTGCATGTAAATTATATGTCGATAAAGTTAAAAAAAAGAAGAAAGGAGGGAGGGAGGGAAGAAAGGAAGGAACCTAGTCCTTGTTAAAATTGTTGAGTCATTGAATTAACCAACCAGTCCATCTCAGAACATCTTGTTTTCTGACTAATAAATAAGTGTCCTTATTGTTTTTTAAAAAAAAAAAGAAGAATGTCCCTGAAGTGACCAGATTTTTGGTATTTTCATACAGCATATGAGAATTGGACTACTTAAACTCTCTACTTGTAGCTAGGAGAAGAGACTCCAGATTTTCACCAGGGACATTAAGAGTCAGGGTTGAAGAAGAGTAAATAGGTCCAGCAAAGAAACAGATTATCTCTTCCTTCTACTGATCCCTCCCTTACTTTCTCTCTGTCCCCATTTAGAATTGCTCTCTCTGCCCTCTGTGCTCCCACACCCTTTCCCTGTTCTACTACATATTTAGTTGTAACAATGTCAGCCTCCTCCATTAGACTGTGCCCTCTTTATGGGCACAAAGGTTGTCTTATTCATTATAGTGTATCTGGAACCCAGCATTGTGTTGGATGTGTAGTGTGTGCTCAGTAAATATTGGGAGGACCAGTCAGGAAAAACAGGATGGTATTAAGCAGAAAAATACCTTAAAAAGCAGAAAATCAATGGGTGTGGTCTTGTGTATAAAAAAAGAAGGAAGGAAAAAAGGGGATAGAGAGATACTTTAAAATGAATGAAATAAAAAAATGAAGGTAATAAAAAATGTCTCATAGGGTTTATAACATATGTAGAAGTAAAGTACATGACAACAATAGCTCAAAAGATGGGAGCAAGGAAATGAAGTCAAACTAGGATTTTTACACTGTTTGGAAGGTAATAAAAGTACTGATTTAAACTAGATTACAACAAACCAAGCATGCATATTATAATATCTAGGGTCACCACTAAAAGAAAAATATGAAAATATATAACTAAAAACAGCCCATTAAAAACAAATTGCCATCAAGTCAATTCTGACTCATGGGGACCCCATGTGTTACAGAGTAGAACTGCTCCATAGGATTTTTTGGCTACAATTTTTATGGAAGCAAATCATCAAACCTTTCTTCCATAGTGTCACCGCATGGATTCAAACCACCAGCCTTCAGATTAGTAGACAAGAGAAATACTTGCTGTCGTGGATTGAATTGTGTCCTCCAAAAATATCTGTCAACTTGACTGGGTCATGTTTCCCAGTATTGTATGATTGTGTACCATTTTGTAATCTGATGTGATTTCCTTATGTGTTGTAAACTCTGTCACTATGATGTAATAAAATGGATTGGTGGCAGTTATATTGATGAGGTCTACAAGATTAGATAGTGTCTTAAGCCAATCCCTTTTGAGATATAAAAGAGAGAAGCGAGAAGAGACACGTGGGGACCTCATACCACCAAGAAAGCAGTGCTGGGAGCAGAGTGCATCCTTCGGACCTGAGGTTCCTGCGCTGAGATTCCCAGAACAAGGGAAGACTGATGACACTGACCTTCCTCCAGAGCCGACAAGGAAAGTGTTGTCCTGGAGCAGATGCCCTGAATTTGGACTTGTAGCCTACTGGAATGTGACAGAACAAACATCTCTTTGTTAAAACCATCCACTTGTGGTATTTCTGTTATAGCAGCACTAGATGACTAAGACACTTGCTTAATCCAAAAGAAGACAGGAAAGGAGGAATAAAGGAACAAAGAACAGAGACAAAAAGAAGCAAGTAGTAAGACAATAGACTTAATCCTAACGAGATCAGTAATTACAAAAAATATAAATAGACTAAATATTCCAATTAAAGCACCAATTGTAAGACTTGTTAAAAGTTAAAAAAAGTAGGTCCAACTATATGGTGTTTAAGGAGCCCTGGTGGCACAATGGTTAAGTGCTTGGCTGCTAACTGAAAAGTCAGTTGTTCGAACCCACCCAGTAGCTCTGCAGGAGGAAAAACCTGGCAATCTGCTCCCATAAAGATTACAGCTTAGAAAACCCTATGGTGCAGTTCTGCTCTGTCATATAGGGTAGCTATGAGTCGGAATTGACTCAGAGTTACACAACAACAATAGCACGTGCTTTACAAGAGATATATGTTAAATATGAAGACCCTGATAGGTTGAAAGTATAAAAGGACAGAAAAATACATGCCATACAAACACTATTCAAAAAGCTAGTGTGTTTATATTAACATCAAGAAAAGACGACTTTACCAGTACAACTACATGGTGCCCATCTACCACAACTGACTGCTCTGACAGGGATCACAACAGAGGGTCCTGGACAGAGCTGGAGTAAAATGTAGAACAAAATCCTAACTCACAAATAAGACCAGACTTACTGGCCTGACAGAGACTGGAAAAACTTCGAGAGTATGGCCCCCGGACACCCTTTTAGCTAAGTAATGAAGTCACTCCTGTTGTTCACCGTTTGGCCAAAGATTAGACAGGCCCATAAAACAAAATCAGACTAATGGGGCACAGCAGCCCAGGAACAAGGACTAGAAGGCAAGAGGGGACAGGAAAGCTGGTAATAGGGAACCTAAGGTCAAGAAGGGAGAGTACTGACATGTCATGGGGTTGTTAATCAATGTCATAAAACAATATGTGTACTGTTTAATGAGAAACTATTTGTTCTGTAAACCTTCATCTAAGTACAATAAAAAGAAAAAAGAAAAGATAACTTTAAAGCAAGAATTATTACTACAGATAAACAAGGACATTTAATAAGGACAAAAGGTCAATTCAACGGAAAGATATAACAACCCTAAATTTGTATGCATCTGATAACATATTTAAAAAAATAAATCGAATGATTGTTGTATTGCTGTTATCTCCACTATAGGTTTTCTACAGTCTCTGCTGTCCCCTTGACCAAAACGGATACTTGGCCAAAGGATGTGGGCATCCTTGCCCTGGAGGTCTACTTCCCAGCCCAATATGTGGACCAAACTGACCTGGAGAAGTATGACAAAGTGAAAGCAGGAAAGTACACAGTGGGCTTGGGCCAGACACAGATGGGCTTCTGCTCAGTCCAAGAAGATATCAACTCCTTGTGCCTGACAGTGGTGCAGCGACTGATGGAGCGCACACAGATCCCATGGGACTCCGTTGGCCACCTGGAGGTGGGCACGGAGACCATTATAGACAAGTCCAAATCTGTCAAAACAGTGCTCATGGAGCTCTTCCAGGATTCAGGGAACACCGACATTGAGGGCATAGGCACCACCAATGCCTGCTATGGTGGCACTGCCTCACTCTTCAATGCTGCCAACTGGATGGAGTCCAGCTCCTGGGATGGTATGTGCTTTCAGGGGTCTTATGTAAGAAAGGAGCTGGTATTGGAGGCTGAATCTTATCAGTTTTTCCTCTCACTTCACCAGGGATGGAAGGACAACTTATTCATGTAGCTGTTGCTATTATCCAACAGCCACAATAATAACCACTCAAACTTGTATGGCTTTATACATTTAGGTAGTATATTTGTATAAACTATTCACTTAGTCCTTACAACAGCCTAGGAAGTAGATGTTATATCTGATTTATAGATGAGAAAACGGAGGATCTGATATCTTACACATAGTGAGTGGCAGAGGTGGAACATCAAGCTAAATACAGTATGCGTCCCATTTTACTGTATCCATGTCTTAAGCTTCTCCTAAGCCTCCAAGAGACGGACTGATGATATTGAGAGATTTAAACAAGTTTAGATGTTAAGGGTAGAATATTTTTGTAGACAGAAGACTGGAGAATCATAGGATGGACTGTTACACAGAGTATTTCTACTCTTTCTCCCTTTCTTGGTTCCTAGGAAATTGCTTTTTGCTTAACATTACACTGTATCTTACTTATAGCGTCCCTCAATGCTGTATGGGAGAAAGACCTCTGTTGTGATGGCAAGAATAAATTTAAGGAAACAATACAAGTTGTGACTTACAAACCCTAGCTCTGTCATTAATTGTTGACAAGTTCCTTAACTTCTCCCAGCCTCAGGGTTCTTATTTAACTACCTGCCTTGCAGGGCTGTTGAGAGGATTGAATGAGATAATCCACAGAGATGAGAAAGAACAATATCTTGGCAGGCAAGGCCCTCCATATTTATTAAGTTGGAAACTAAGATTAAAACCCCAGAAACCATAATGGACATTAATTATAAAATTAATTAAAAAGTCAGAACATTGAAAGGGAATTTAGAGATTATCTGACTCAATCTCCCTCATTTTAAAATGAGGAACCAGAGGCCTAGAGGAGTTCCAGTTTGCCTCTGTCTAAGCAGCAAGGCAGTGCAATTCCATAGTCCATTCAGTGCTTTCCAACGGTCATGCAAGACCTCTTTATCAATGGTTTCATTGATTTGGGATGTTTTAGTCTCTACGTCATCAAGTCTGTTTTCACAGTGTTTCTCCTGTTTGGCACTTGTATTTCTAATTCCCTAGGGTCCCCTGGAGCCCTGGTGACTCAGTAGCTAAGAGCTCATCTGCTAGCCAAAAGGTCGGCAGTTCAAATACACCAGCCGCTTCTTGGAAACTCTATGGGACAGTTCTACTCTGACCTATAGGGTCACTATGAGTTGGAATTGACTTGACAGCAATGGGTTTCAGTTTTGTTTTGTTTTTCTAATGTCCCCTACCAAACATTTAGCTGGAGGGTACAAATGAAGAGCAAGGAACACTCACCAACCTTTAACCAAAAAACAGACAATCTACTCTTGGGAGCATCACCAGCTCAAGCATGTCATTTCAAATGAGTAAATTTTGCTGGGTGGCTGGATAGTCCACAAGAAAGGGCTACAAATGTATCTTTCTTTAATAGGATGGCTTGGTGAAAAAAACTCAAAAAACAAACTATTGAAATGTGAATTGCTAGTTTGCGTTAAACTAAAAAGCCTATCGAAGCTTGAGCCTGAATGCCTGGACTGCACACCCTCGGAGGTGATGGCAGCTGCCAAGACCAGACAAGCCCAGTTGTGAATGAGACCTCAGCTTCCAACCTGGCCAACCATCCACCTCGGAACACTTGGCTGGGAGGGTCTGAACTCTCAAGATGAAAGCAGAGTATGAGGAGTGGAAAGAGTCATACAGGCTCAGATTGTCAGATTGCCTGGGAGGCTCCAAGTTTGCTCTTCTTTCTTTCTTTCTTTTTTTTTACACAAACGAGTACAAGGTAAAAAACAAGCCTCCTCTGACACCCCATTATATTTCCCAGAATTTTTACACTGGTAACAGGTTTCTTTGTAATCTTCCAGAATTCTTCTATGTATCTGCCATCATGCACACATCTGTTCAGTTTTATTTTTAATGCTGTACGTATTATTCCAAATCGATATGATGTCTTAGAGATCTTTTCTATATATATGAAAATATATGAGCTTTACTTCATTCTTTTAAAAGATGCAAAACATTCCATTGTATGTATGTGCTAAAATGTATTAATTAGTCCCATACTGATTGAGATTTGGATTGTCATAAGCTTTTTGAAACTACAATGTTTTAATGAACATTGAACAATAGTTTTTGCCTGTTTGTAGCAACATGTTGTAAGAACAGATTTCTGGAAGTAGAACTGCAAGAGCAAAGGATAAAAAAAAAAAACCCATTGCCATCAAGTCAATTCCAACTCATAGCGACCCTACAGGACAGGGTAGAACCACCCCATAGGGTTTCCAAGGAGTGCCTGGTGGATTCGAACTGCCATCCTTTTGGTTAACGGTCATAGCTCTTAACCACTACATCACCAGAGTTTCCATGAGCAAAGGATATGTTGATTTAAAAGTTTGATAGAATGTGCCCAATTGCTCTCCAAAATATTGTACTAAATTGCATTCTCATAACACATATTATCAAATGTTCTAATCTTTGTCAATTAAATAAGTAAAATCTTAGTGTCTTTGACTTGTCTTTTTTTTTCATTATGAGAGAGGGTTTTGTTTTCTGTTTTTTGTTTTTACATATTTATTGGCCATTATTCTATTGTATGCCTTGGCTTTTTTTTTCCCCCCATGTAACCTTTATAAATGAAGGAAAATAGCTTTTTGTTAGTTGTAAGTATTGTAAATACTTCCCCAGTTTGTCTTTTGACTTTTTTTCTGACAGAAGGCTTTGATTGATTTTTAGATAGTCAAATTTACTGATCTTTTCCCTAATGACTTCTGGGAATTTTTCTATCATTTCCAAATTTTTCACAGTGTGTGTGTGTGTATAATATCATTGGGCAAAGAAATACTTTTTGGTGGTTTGGTGTTGTTGGGGTTGTTATTATTCTTAAGAGAAGGTCCCTGGATTTAGATGAATTTGGGTTGGAATCCTGACTCTGAATTAGATGTGTGCCCTTGGGCAAGAGACTTACTTTCTTCGGGCCTCCGTTTCTTTGCCTTTAAAGAGAGAATAACTATATGTGCTATATAGATTTATTATGAGGATTGAATTACGTAGGTATATGAATCCCAACACAGTGCTTGGGTGAAACCTGGGGACTTCATCACAGATTAGATAGAATACTAAAGTTACTACCATATTTCTCCCACGTGCTTAAGTTTTGGGAGCAGCACGTCTATCAGTTGAAAGCAGAACAAATAATACCGTGTTTTTAAGAAAATAAAGCAAATTCTGCTTTTGTTTGCCAACCGCGCCTTCTCCCCTTGAGGTATTTTCATAAGCTCGCTATGGCAGTTTTTTTTACATGTTGCTATAAAAAATATTGGCATAGCATGTTTATGAAAATACCTGGGGTGGAGGGAGCCCTGCTGTCAAACAGACTGAGCACGTTATTTGCGTAAAGCTACGGTAGTCTAGACAACAATCATTTATTAAATAGTCTGACAATTATAGAGTAAGTTATCATGAATCATCCACATTAAATGTGGGTACTCAATGTAAACTCTTCTCACAAAGCAAAGTAATGCCAAAGTGAATGGTTTAGGACCCAGACAAAACTGGATTTGAAAACCAAATCTCACATTCATTAGGTGTGTGACTTGGATAAATTACTTAATCTCTCTGGAAGGCAGTGTTTTCATGTATAAATGTGGCTATTACTTACCTCATTGAATTGTTTCGAGGTTTATTTGAAGATAATTAGTGTCGTCGGCAGTTGGAATCTCCCAGCAGCTCCTTAGAAACCCTAACAGGCAGTTCAACTCTGTCTTTTAGGGTCGCTGTGAGTTGGAATTGACTCCATGGCAATAGGTTTGGTTTTTTTGGCGTACTGTCTAGCTAGTACTTCAAATGTTAATTTCCGCTCCTATCCCTTGACCTCATATGATATGGAAGGAATTTAAAGATAAAAGAGTGCTACAAGGTGATCAGTACAAATCAAATTATCTTCAAATGCTCTGATTATATTTTTCATTGTTCAGAATTCTGAATAAATGAGCATGTTAAGCTTTATTAATGGACTATTTTTAGATAAGTTTTGCACTTAATAATGTATTTTATTGAATCCAACATATCCATAAGAGCCCTGGTGGCACAACAGTTAAGTGCTTGAGTGGTAACCTAATGGTGTTGGTTCAAACTCATCCAGAAGCTCTGAGGGAGAAAAACCTGGTGATCTGCTTCCCTAAAGATTATAGTCAAGAAAACCCTATGGGGCAGTTCTACTCTGTCACGTGGGGTCTCTATGAGTTGGAATCGAGTTGACAGCAATCAACAACGTATCCATAATATTAGCATTTCAACGTTTCAATATGAAAACATGGTGGTGGTGGTGGTTGATGGTGGTTGGTGGTGGGTTGTGGGTGGTGATGGGTGGTGGTGGTGGTAGGTGGTGGTGGTGGTTGGCAGTGGTTGGTGGTGGGTGGTGGTGGGTTGTGGGTGGTGGTGGATGGTGGTGGTGTGGGTGGTGGTGGTTGGTGGTGGTTGTCGTTGTTGTTTCAAGTTAGTTCTGACTCATAGTGACCCTGTGGACAAGGTAGAAACATTTGACGTTGTTTTGGCATTTCTCTTGTTTATTTTTTGTTTTTTCTTTCAATAGATGGATATTTTACAGCTAGAGGGACAGGGCACTGAATTTTGACTTCGCTTTTCAAGTGTACCATGATGAGTTCTACTAGAACATAGGCTTCTGAGAGGACAGGGATTTTTGTTTTTGTTCATTGCTCTGTCTCGACCGTCTAAAATTGTGCCTGGCATGCAGGAGGCACTTAGTCAACTATAGATTTGGTAGTAAAGATAAGGTTTCTTGCCTGTCTTTACAGGTCGCTATGCAATGGTGGTCTGCGGAGACATCGCAGTCTATGCAAGTGGCAGCGCTCGCTCCACGGGTGGGGCTGGAGCCGTGGCAATGCTGGTGGGGCCCGAGGCCCCTTTGGCCCTTGAGCGAGGTTTGTAGTAAACAGTGGACGCGTGCTAGCAAATACGGAGATCCTAATTAGGAGTGCCTGGGTGGTGCAAAAGGAGCCCTGGTGGCGCAATGGTTAACCACTTGGCTGCTAACGGAAAGACCGGTCTTTCTAACCCACCAGCCACTCCGCGGGAGAAAGATGTGGCAGTTTGCTTCCATAAAGGGTGCCAAAAAAAAATAAACTCATTGCTGTCAAGTCAATTCCGATTCATAGTGACCCTATTAGACAGAGTAAAATACCGCATCTGCTCCATAGGGTTTCCAAGGCTATAAATCTTTATGGAAGCAGACTGCCACATCCTTCTCCCACTAAGCAGCTGGTGGGTTCCAACTGCTGACCTGGTTAGCAGCCGAGTGCTTTAACCACTGTGCCACCAGAGCTTCTTCCTAAAGATTACAGCCTTGGAAACCCCATGAGGCAGTTCTACCCTGTCTTATAGGGTTGCTATGAGTCAGAATCAACTTGATGGCAACGAGTTTGGTTTTTGGTTTGGGTGGTGCAAATGGTTAACAAGCGTGGCTGCTCCACCCAGAGGCGCCTCAGAAGAAAGGCCTGGCGATCTACTTCTGAAAAATTAGTCACTGAAAACCTTATGGAGCACAGTTCTACTCTGATACACATGGGGTCATTATGAGTTAGAATCAACTTGATAGCAACTGGTTTCTTTTGGTTTTTAATCCCAACTTGGCATATCTGCTATTCAGGGCTGAGGTATGGGTTTGATAATGGTATCTCTTACCTCCAAAAGGCTGGTCTGGGGAACAGAGAGCAGGAAGGAAGAGAAGGGAGGGATCAGTGAGATTTCCTGCCTCTTCATCATAATAAGGTATGGAATGATTGGTACAGACCTTGTCTAGGATACTTAGGGAGCTAAACTGGCAATTGGAGATGAAATTAGGTATAAAATGAAAAGCTTTCCTTTGAGACTTTTGGCTTTTATTCCAGTTTGTTAAGCCCACATAGGGGTGAATGAAGGAATAGAAATCTCATTTAGATAATATAATCTATTCAACTCCCTTTGAACATGTGAGGGATGTTGAGTGGGCTTGAGTGTGGGCATGGGAAAGAGATAAAGACCAGATGGGTGGAATTATGCAATTCCTGAATCCCTCTGTGTGCCTGTCCAGGGCTTAGGGGAACCCACATGGAAAACGTATACGACTTTTACAAACCAGAACTGGCCTCAGAGTATCCGGTGGTAGACGGAAAGCTCTCCATCCAGTGCTACTTTCGGGCCTTGGACCGATGTTATGCATTCTACCGTCAAAAAATCCAGAACCAGTGGAAGCAAGGTATGTGGCTCGGAGGGCAGTGTGGGGGATCTCTTTACAAGGGGCTAAGACAAAGTCTCCTCCTCCTTCCCTGAAAGTGTTAGCAGAATTGTTTCATGTCTCCTTCTTACACCCACCCCTGCCACTATGATAAAATCCATGTATGAAACTTACCAAATTCAAGTATATAATTGCTTCTGACTTGAGCTAAATGAAAGAAATTAAACCACCCAGGGCCAAAGCTTACCACTATGAAACCAGTAGGGTCAGCCACCTGGGGAGAGACTGTTGTGAGGCAGAGTAACCACATCTTACTCAGATTGGGACTTGTTTCCGATTAAGTGTGGAGTGATTTGACCCTTAATTTATAGTTTGCCACCTTTTAAAGTCTAATTGATGTGGGGAAAAAATCTTACCTACATATTTTATGTACTAAAGTGTTATCTGTGATTTCTCTCTAGATGGTGAGGTTGCAGGTAGATTTTATTTTCACCTTTCGTTTCTGAATTTTATATATATATAGAACTTTCATACTCAGAAAAGAAACAAATAAATCTTATTTTAAAATACAGAGAAACCTACTTTAAAAACATGAAAATGGGTTCTAACCTGTTTAACTATGTCCAGATGAGTATCTGCAAAATGTAGGTTTTGGTGTGGGAAAAGGCATGTGCTAAAGCCTCAGAGCAGGAATGCCTTGTTGTTGTTGTTAGCTGCCATGGAATTGGCCCTCAACTCATGGTGACCCCACGCACAACCGAATGAAACACTGCCCTGTCCTGCGCCATCCCCATGATCAGTTGTGGATCGAACCATTGTAATCCATAGGGTTTTCACTGGCTGATTTTCAGAAGTAGATCACCAGGCCTTTCTTCTTAGTCCATCTTAGGCTGGAAGCTCTGCTGAAATCTGTTTAGCATCATAGCGACACACACACACAATCCTCCACTGATGGATGGGTGGTAGCTCCACTGATGGACAGGTGCATTGGCTGGGAATTGAACCCAAGTCTCCCACACGGGAGGTGAGAATTCTACCACTGAACCACCATTGTTCCCTATATGGATGCTTTAGAGGTGGCATGAAGAGCCACATCTTGCCCCTTTCCACTGCAGTGGGTGGGGTGCTGGCTGCCACAGGCAACACCCATGCTTTGGTGTCAACTTGGAACCCTCTGCCTCTGCCTATGCACTGTAAAATTGTTATTGGTTAATTGATCTCATCTCTGAATTCCTAAGGCATTTTAAATTTACTCCTTTTTCTCATATGTAATTGGATGAATGTTGCCTTGGACCACTGCACTAAATTGTAAACTTTCCTAAGAACAGGGGTGGCACTGCCCTTATTCTTGAAGTGAGAGAGTCTCAAGTGTAGAGTCAGAGACACCTGAATCTAAATCCACAGCCAGCCATTTTCAAGCCGGGTGACCTTGGACATATTATTTATTATTTTGGAGACTCTGTTTCCTCCTCTGCCAAATGGAGAAAATGATACAAGACAAGGTTGATTTGGAGAATAAATAAGTTAATCTACTTGAGAACATCTGTTATAGAGGTTGGCAATAGTAGATACTCAGAAGACGTTTGCTTCTTTCCTTCTTTTCTTACACATAGAGGGTGTCTAGTAAATACTTGTGAAATGAATGAACGAGTTGCTTACTTCCCTTTCTCTGTGTTTATTGGAGGTACAGACTAGTTCTCTGGGGAGGCCTACAGTCCTAGGCACAGCTGAGATCCTGGAGAAGTAGGTCTAAATGGCTAGTTCATCATGCCACACCCTTGTTCTCACACCTCCTTTTCCAGCTGGCATCAACCAACCTTTCACCCTGGAAGATTTCCAGTTTATGATCTTTCATACACCCTTCTGCAAGTTGGTCCAGAAATCCCTGGCACGCCTGATGTTCAATGACTTCCTGTCAGCCAACAGCGACACACAAACCAGCCACTATAAGGAGTTGGAGGCCTTCAGGTGAGTCCTCTTCATGGCGAGCCTAGAGGCCCATAGTGGGTGAGAAAGGAGGAGCAGATGCCTGAAGCTAGATTATCAGCCTCTCCTGTGGGAAGCAAATGCTCGCCTCTCAACACAACAGAATGATACTAAATCCTTACATGTGCTAACACAGTATTGTCTACATGCATTGTCTCAGGGGAGCACAAGGAGCTTGTCAGAACCCCTGGGCCAAGTGACTAGAAGCTTCAGAGAATAAGGAACAGGTAAAAGGAGTGTGGCTGAATCATTCAGCTAGTAAACATTTTCTGAACACTTGCTATGTGCCAGGCACCCTAAACTTTAGGGATACAAATTTGAATGTGATTCCACGATCCCTGCCACAGAGGATCTCAAGGTCTATACCAACACATGTCAGTGGTGGCGTTAGTTGCCGTCAAGTAGATTTCAACTCATGATGACCCCATGTGTTTCAGAGTAGGGCTGTGCTCCATAGGGTTTTCAAGGCTGTGACTTTTCAGAAGCAGATCACCAGACCTGTCTTCTGAGGTGCCTCTGGACGGATTCAGAACACCAACCTTTTGGCTAGTAGTTGGGCGCATAACTGTTTGTACCACCCAGGGACTGATGCATAGAAGCAAATAATCACAGCACAGTATGACAACTTGGGGAGTGCCAGGTTCCATTCTCACCTGCCATTGGCTTAATGTCTTCTTAGTTACCCACCCCAGATAGTCCAGTTCTCTCACTTACACATCAAAAAAGGACAAGAATGCTCTTTGCTTATGCATTACTCCAAGATATTTTAATAAAAAGAAAAATCCTCAATACAAAGAATTCCCAGTAGGAAGAGAATCTTTCCCTTTCCACATGTATCTGCTTACTATAACATTTAGAAGCATTCTACCAACATTGCCACTACTACTAACTACTACTATAAACCTTACCAGAACTAAAACATCAAAATTAGCATAAACACTGCTTATAATACCTGCCCCATCAAAAGAAAACTTGTCACATATGCCAAAGACAATGCTTAATATCCTTAATATATGAAGATCTCATTAATAAGATAAACACCTAATAGAACAATGGGCAAAGGATATTAAGAAATTTTCTCATAGAAGAAATACATATAATCATATTTTTAAATGTATATGCTCATTAATGACAAATTAAAACAAGGTACCATCTTTTTTACATTGCCTTTTTAAAATTTGAATACCCAGAATTGGCAAGCCTATGAAAAATGGGCTATAGTGGATGTGTAAGTCAATACAACCTTTTCGGGGAGTAATAGGGCAATATGAAGCAAAAGCCATTAAAAAGCCTTTGGCTCATCCAGCAATTCCACTCCTAGGAATATACCCTAGAGGAATAAGAGTCGTCACTCGAATAGACATATGCACACCTATGTTCATGGCAGCATTGTTCACAATAGCAAAACGATGGAAACAACCTAGATG